ATATCTAATTTAATACAGTAGTATCTATTCCGGTGAAAGGATACTAAAAGAAAATGTTTTATCTAATTTTTTAATTAAACATCTTTTAAATCAATTATATTGCTGAAATAAAAAATGTTCTATCTTTTAATTTAATATATTATCACTTTTAACAAATGACTATCAATCAACTTATCGAATTATCTAATTGATTTGAACGTAATCTATAATTGATTAGTACTTATCAATTAATTGAAAGAGCATATATGAGCTAGGAATGACGATAAGTGATAAGAAAAAAGTTAGTTTAAAAAATATAAAAAAATATAGTATTAAAAAAATGGCAGCAGCATTATCAGATAATGATAAAACGGATTCAATAGACTCCGTTGAAGCTAAAAAAGCATTAATTGTGCAATCGTTTTCTTTTTTTTGCTGTGCTATTTTTGTAAATAATTGATAATTGTATCTTTATTTTTTTCTATTACTTTAATTATTAATTAGATATAACTTTGTGTTGTTAGGTAATGTTATTTAATAAATTAGATATAAATAAATTTTAAAATTAGATATAAAAGCATCCTATATTAGATATAGATTTATTATAAAATTAGATACAGATTGCTATATTTTTAGGTATTAGTTTATATTTTCCCCATTTCAAAATATCTGAGCTAACATAACTAATGAAAAAAACTAATGTTATTGAAAAAATTGAATGCTTTTTTCATATGAAAAAAAGATGAATTTTTTGACATTTCTTGAGATTTTCCCTGTAGTTTTTTGAATTTTTTATCTGAAAAAGATGGCTCAAAGTATTTTTGAAATATATAGTTTTGTAGAGCTCATCGAGCTCTATTGAATCATGTAAAAATATCTAGAAAAAATCTTTTATTTCGTATTTGAATTACTGGCACCTTACTTTTCGACATCAAAAAACGGTATCAAATTTCTAAAAATCTTGGAAGTTCGACATTAAAAGGTCTTTATAACCTTTACTATTTAGTACCAATAAATGCAGTTTTTTACGAGCTTCAATTTGGTATAAAATACTTAGCGAAATCGTTTTACCTTAAGGTCGAACCAGGGGGGCGTAAAGGTTTTGAAACACTCTGACAGGCAATTATGAAAATCGATTCACGTAAGTCAAGTAGAACAAAAACATGTCATAATTAGAGAATGTATGAAAATTAATTAAAAAAAAGTATTATCAATAAAGCAATGATAATGTTGAGGTTGAGTGGGTGAGTTCTTTGGTAATTGCAATATCGTTTACTTCATCGTCCTACGAACACTTCAGCTTGAATTTTCACAGTCACGCTTCATTGTCACTCTCAAATCATCACGTGTTCACTTGTCGTGACTGTATATGAAAGCATAGGATTCCCTATAAAGAAATATGAAGTCAAAATGAAACCGTACAAAAACATTGTTAGCAAGCATATTTTACATTCGTACATCATCGTATCTTTTTGTATACTATAGGAAGATATCCAATTACCATGCTAAATTTTGTAAATCTTCCTATTCCTTCTCCTTGAAAAACCTTACTTCTGAAGTGCAGAATAACTGAAATGCGAAAGAAATCATGAACAAAAGCAATTTTTAAAATGAAAATATTTTATTCTCATATCAAGATGTTTTTGAATCAAAAAAAGAACTACACAGAGATTTTATTTCAATCGAAATATCTATCAGAGTTAATATTTCAACAATCATATCATGTAGAAGAAAACCGTGTTTTTCACATTTGAAAATTCTATTTGAAAGAAACACAGAAATTTAAAGTTTCTTTCTACTTTCTATGATGTAAGATTCGTTTTTTTTTTCAAACAGAAAAACTAACTTTTCATTTCTTCAGATTTATTAAACAAAATAAGGGTATTTAAATAAATACGAAGAGAAAGTCTTTCTTATCCATAGGAGAAATTTCATTATCTTTGTTAAACAGACAACAAATGAATACATCGATTATTTAGATACTCATACCGACTTAGTATATCCTGTATCAATATTGTGAAGGAAAAAAAACGAAAAAAAAAATTTGACCGATTCGTTCTTTTTTTTTTTCTTTCCTCACACACCTTTCAGGGGCGGCGTGTTATTCACCACGTATGATATACACCAGTAAAATTATTCATAAAAATGTAATGTTTTTCTCCCGTTCTTTTACCAACACCCAATAGAGCATGATAACATACGCATATTCTATCGTTTTATTGTAATATTTTCATCGTCATCGATGTTGTTTGACGATCTTGATCGAATTCAATGTAAGTTTAACTTAGTTTTCTTTGATTGATTCTATATATTTATTTAAAAAAAAAAACAGATCTCGGTAATACTCCATCACCAGATATACCAATACTGCCAATAATTTTTCTTTCAACAGTTATTCATAGTTTTATTTTTTATTTTCTTCCGTCATCGTTGACCCCATTAGTTAAAAGTTATGTTGTTTCAACATTGCATGCAATTATATGCATATTAAGTGTTGCGAATTTTTTTGCACGTTATTCAGTTAATTTAAAACAAATTAATCGAATAGCTGGTGGAGGAATTTATGGTACTGGTGATGAGATTATGACTTATAGTATATGTTATTCATTTGGTTATTTTACATATGATTTATTATTGATGTTATTAAATAAATCAGTAAGAACAAAATCAGCATTAATTCATCATATAATAATCTTAATAGGATTATTTTCAGGTTAATTATTATTTTTTTTTTCTTTTAAATATTTGTATTATATTAATATATAATATAGGTATAATGAATGGAATTTGTCATTCATGTCATTTCTATTTACTTGGTGAAGAACTTTCAACAATTCCATTAAATTTAAAAGCAATATATCATAATCGACCACGTTTACATACAATATTTAGTTATTTATTTGTTATTTGTTTTATTTTTTGTCGTATTATATATGGATCAATTATATGTGTATATGCTTTTCGAGCTGCACCTCAATTTATTCTCATGGCATCTAATGTTGGGGATTTAAAAAGTATTATTATTGGTTTATCACAAGCTGCTTTATGTATATTAACAAGAATACTCAATTTTTATTGGTTTAATTTAATTTTACAAAAATTATTTCAGTTACAAAAATCAAAAGAAAAATTTCTATAAACATATCATATTAATTGAAGTATACTTATTGCCTTGATATTAAACTATATACTGATTTTAAAACAATTTTGTTTGTTGAATAAGTTTTGATTATATTACATTCAGCATTTGTTTTTGTTCTTTTCCTTATTTTCAATTTTTTATTCCTTTTTTTTTTTTTTCTTTCAAACAAATTGTATTTATCAATCAGAAGAATATTTATATGAAAATCAATAGTAAATTTATCATAGGTTAAACAATTAACAAATATTTCGATATATATATGTATTTTTTTTTCTTACTCGAACAACTAAATTAATAAATAACATAATTATTCTGAAGTTAATTATTATTGTTGTTTCTTTTTTTAATTCAATTCTTCTCTATTTCTATTGAGGATTCTTGTTATAATAAACTTCATTTTTCACTGAGGAGTATTGCTTAAAGCAACATTCTATTTGAATAGAATTATTTACATGCATGTATATATTAACCAATACATACATTACAACTATCTGATAGATAAAAACGAATGATATCTTATCTTTTTGTCATTGATATGTTATTGTTAATCGAACTACTGTTTACTACTTAGAAAATATTTAGGAAAATAAACTAAATTGGGCGATTAGATTTAAATAAGGCAAATAGATTATTAGAATCGACATCTTGATAATAGAGTGAAGCTTTTTCTACTAGAAAACATTAAGCTAAAAAAAGAAACAACACTCAACATTCTTCAACTTTACATTTCTGTAGTTTAGTAAATATTTCAACTGATTCAAATAATTTTATGCCGTTTCATCATTAGTTAAATCACAATACACATTTCATTTATTTAATACTGAATCTTTTAACTAACAGTAGAAGAAATTCGTCCTCCACGTTAAATAATAGTTAACATAATGAAAAACTATTTGTTTTCAAACGATATAATGTGTGTAATACTTGTAATATTCATCAAGCATTATTATTCTACATATCTATAGAGTTTTTTTCTAAGATAGACATAACTCTGTATATCTTAGAAATTTGTCATTCGATCATATAAAGCTTATGAATTTAAAGCAAAAACCTAATAGAAAACTACTTTTGTTTGAAAATTGGTTCTTTATGTAGGTAATATATTTTATGAAAATAAAAATGATTAAATCTCTGTTGAAATACTATTTGAATATTAATTTTTGGGTTATTTGAAACTATATGAAAATAATTCTCAAAGATATATTTTAAGCATGTAGAACACACTCAATGTAATTTAATGATAAATATGAACTCTTCACGTAACATCAGTCTAGAAATAAAATTGATAATACTAAATTAAGAATATTCATTTTTTATTCGAGCTTACATAGTTTGAAGTACCACACTTGAATTATCATGTTTATATTCTCGATGAGAATGTTAACGAATAGCACATACAATGATATCATCAGGAATTTTTAATTTCTAACCAATTTTACGAGTTAAATTGTTTTGAGGAATGGGTATCTATGAATAAGTGTCATTAATTTCAGAGCGTCTATGGCTAGTAACTTTTTAAGCTGTAAGAACTTGCTCAATGTCTGAATATACCATTGAACACATAATGGATTTTTAGTGATTTTTTTATTTTTTAGTCTTTTTCTCATCTAAATTCTATATGTGGAGCATAAAGACAAAGGGTATCATCTATTATAGATATTTGTTTGAGTTTTACTTAATTACTTGCATTAAATATTTGTCATCATACTCAAATAATACATATAAATGTAAATATTTAGTTAGCTCATCGTCATATTATGTTAATGATGCATTGTAGTATTTATCTTGTTCCTTTACTTATGTTAATCCACGAAAATAAAAGAGAAAATCTTTTTCATAAAGAAGTGTACAAGTTACAATATTCTTTTTACTCCAATAAACCGTATTAATCATTTTAAAAAAGATGTCCTTCGTGAATTGTCAATCAAATATAGAAAATGACTACTTATTTATGATATGCTCGTTATTATTTAAATGTATGTTATTAAAACATTCTATTTTGGATATTGTGATTTGTTTTATTAAAATTTTTTAAAAAATAAATTTCCAGTATTTTATAGACATAAGCATACTGTCTGATCAATGTGACAAAAAAAGCAATAGTATACCATCGTTTTGTCAAACCAAATGTATTTTGTGCTATCGGCGATAGAAAAGTAGATTTTATTCTCTGTTAATCTCATTCAATTGTTTGTTTGCAATTTCACATGGTTCAATTATTTTGAATAGATATTTTTGTTTCTATTATGGTGACAATATTTTCTTAGTACATATTAATAAATGTTGTTTACGACCCATCTTATATATGGAAATAATTTTTATTGTAGTCCTTACAGGTTGAATTTCAACAATTAGAATTAACACTACACATATGTGGTGTTACCTATTTTCTTTTGTATATTATTATTAACAAACAGTAACCGAAAGTAAAGTTTCAACTAAAAGAACGTCAAAAGTCTCTCAAACCAATATTACATTTTTCATCGATCATTTGAAATGAATTTCGAAATTGTTTTTATTATTTATTGTATATTAAATATTATCGTCTGAGGTAATTCGGATCACTCTAGTTATTTTATTGAAAGACTATTTATAAAACCTCCACCACTTGTACAGCACAATCCTGACTATTCTTTGTAACAGAAAAGTTGTTCGTTTCTCTTTTTTATTTTTGTGTGAAAGATAAAATATGAATCAGCTTAATTCGTCATGTATTTTTTTATTCAATCGAATAATAGAAACCAATGCTTTTTCTTATTTTATTTCACATATTTTGTCACAAACATGTCAGTTCTTTCGAATACCCTAAGCCGAAACAAATTTGATTCGTCAGATCTATTAAAGTCTTATCTTTAAAATGACATGAGCAAACAAAACAGGAAGTTAGCTACTATTGACTTCTACTGCTAATAAGACAGCAATAAGACACGACGATTTTTTCTTCGAATTTACTTGGTAAGCAGTATTTAATGTTTGCAGAATGATCTCTCAGTAGTTATTGTTTTAAATTATATCACAATGAAATCTTCTAACGTATAACGTAAATAATATTGCCTAAAAAATTAGTATCACAGAATAATGCTGAAAATACAGGTAGTCCAAAAAGTATCTGGACACCTACGTATTTTTTTTTGTATTTCTTGATTTACAGATAAGAAACAAGAAATATTATTTTTCTTTATTCATCAGTAGATAGTCGCTACTTTATAGCGACTAGATTCTCTATAAAAAATACACAATTTTGATTATCATCTCGGCTTATGAGAATCTTTCTCATAAAAATACCTGATTTTTCAATACGTTCAGAGCAAGACTTATCTTCTTTTAACATAAAGATGCTCATGTTTCCCATATCAAAATTATATCATGTGCGTAATATTAGAGGGAGCAAAGCGAACTTTATTCCTTGACATGATTCTGAAGGAAAAAATAACTTTCCTTATATAAATTACTTTGAAAGAAAATCGTTTCCTTCAATATGCTTAAGACTATGATACAAGTAGAAAATGATCATGCTTTTTTTCAAACTAGTTTCGAAATATATCGTCAGAGAGCGCATCAAAAGCTGCTTAAAATCGGCTGATTTAAAAGATATAACTGCTTAAAAAAAATTAGAAGATGATCTGAGATTCAAATACTGTTATTATATACGTATTACACAAGAAATATTATTTTTCTTTATTCATCAGTAGATAGTCGCTACTTTATAGCGACTAGATTCTCTATAAAAAATACACAATTTTGAGTATCATCTCGACTTACGGGAAGCTTTCTCATAAAAATGTACTGATTTTTCAGTACATCTAGAGCAAGACTGTTCTACTTATAATACAAAGGTGCTCATGCTTCTGATATCAAAATGATATCATTTGCATAACAGTAGAACAAGCAAAGCGAACTTTATTCATTGACATGATTTTGAAGGAAAAAAAATTTCATTTGTCCTTCAATAACTTTTCTATGAAGGCAGTTGTGCATTCTTTCATGGACTGTATATAACGTAATACAGGATTTACTGCCGTAAACAATCTCTATTGGGCGCGCTTTGTTTATAT